CCTGAAGCCAGGCCAGCTCTCAACCCCAGCACTGCCCCGCGCTGTGCTCCCAATCACATCTCCAGTTTGAGCCTGTTACACTGTCTGATAAAAGCCCGCACGCATCAGGATCTCCAGGGAAAGCCAGTGATGTCTCTATGCTGAAATACCAGGCTTACTTTGCAGAGAAAACAGAATGACCAAAAAAAAAAGAAAAAAAGAAAAAAGAAAATGTAACTGCTGTCAGGACTAAATTTCACTCCATACTGGACACAGAGCCAAGGAAGATTTGTCAGACCCGAGAACAAACCGCGGCTTTTGAGCTGAACCATTATGTGCCTTAACACCCACAGCAAGGGAATTTGCCCCCTTCCTGTCTTCAGACCTTCTGTTCCTTTGGAGTCAGCCCATGACATTCCTGAAGCAGAGGGATTTGCTTTGAAATGGCAGCTCCATGAGACCTGGCTGCAAATTTGGGAAGACAGAGCCCAAGAGGTTGACTCCGTGATCACAAACCCCCAGATGTTCCTGTAAAACCTTCCCGAGCTCTGCAGCAGGGAAAGGAGGCAGCTACTGTGCCGTTACCAACGGCACCTTCTCTGTTAAATAAAGCATTACTTGGATCAGTGCTGTCACTTGTGCCCTTCAGTGCTGGCCTGGGAGGGAGCCGTGCTTTCCTGGAGGGAAGCGCAGGGCTGGGTGGTGGCACTTGGGGACAGGCCTCACACCCAGCCATGCGCTGCTGCGGGGACGAGACCTTCAAGCAGTTGGGCAGAGGAAACCACTTGGCAAAGTCACATGGAGCTCCAGTCCAGCCTGGGGTGTAGGTGGCATCTGCTTTGCAGGGCTGTGTCCGCCGGGGGTCCTGTTGCCAACACTCTGTCCCCTCCAGTCCTTCCAAACCGACCCCGGCTTTCCCATTTCCATCGCGTCCCGCGCTCCCCCTCACCTCCCGAGCTGCCATCCCATCTCCCCAGCCTCCCCGAGCCCCAGCCTCACCTCTGAGCCCCCGAGGGGGCAGCCACAGCAGACGAGATGGAGCCCGGGAAACTCTTAGAAGGCCCAGAGGAAGGTTACAGAGAGGCCACAGAATCATGCTGAAGACAGTAAAGTTATGGCAAAAGTACTTTATTATATACATATGACTCCAGCCACACTCCACAGGGCAAGGACCAGAATTTGCTATTTTACATATCAATACAAAGTAACTATAAAAACATAAAGCACTTTTGGGGCCCAGGCTTTCCACAGGAGGAGAGAGGCACAGGACCAGCGTGGGGGTGCTGAGCGACAGGCAGCTGCCCCACACCCTCCCCCAGCTGTGGTCCCACGGTAACCAGATGTGCAAGTAGGAAAGAACCCAGTTTAGAAAAAAAGCCACAAGATTGGCAAATCCGGACTGTCCTATGCCCTGCTGGCCAGCAGAGAGCCAAGGGCTAAGCCAAGTGTCCCCAGGACAGGAGCGGGGCTGTGTGCCCCGCAGAAGGTGCAGAAGGCACGTGGGCCAGGCTCTTTGGAGGGCTCGTGGGGAGGCAGGAGGTGAGATCCAAGAGCTGGTGCGCACGGGGCCGCGGGGATCACACACGCACCGCTCGCAGGCAGGAAGGCCGCGGGGATCACCTTCCTCGGGAACCTACAAGGGGCCTGGTGAGGGCACGTCCCGTGTCTTGGGAGCAGCAGTTGCATAGCAGAAGGGCTCCAGGCCCACTCTTGGTGGGACACCAGCTTTCACTCTATGTGCCCAGGAGAAAAACAGCGCTCTGCAAGGCAGGGCAGCCCAGAGACACAGCCCTGCCTGTGCCTGGCGATCTCTGAGTGCAGGTCTCAGCATCCAGCTGACGTTGAAGCAGGTGTTTCACCACACAGACCTGCACGCAGGAGACAGCCACAGGGCACAAGATTCAACTGCTTTAATCTGCAAGTGGAAAATATGGAAAACTAACTGGAACACTCTCCTGCTCCTGCCTTCCAAAGGGCTCCCAAGCCCCTACCTGTGGCCAACTTTGAGGATAACTGTTCAAGTCCCCTACCACAAATCCCATGTCCCTTTCACACAGGAGACTTCAGTGCAACTGGAAAAATCTAAACCAGGGAGGACTCGTTAGCAAGAACTGCCTTGGTAATAGGCTAAAAGGTTGTTCCACAACTTATTTACAGTGGCTCTCAGTGGGTACATACACAACTGCAGTACCTCAGAGCTCAGTCAGGGATGGGGGCAAACCACTGACCTGTGCTACCCAACACTTTTGCTGCGCTCTGTTCCTGACCTATCAAAACTATCCTGAGGCCTCAGGCGCAGCAACCAAAACCAGGAGCACTGTGGGACAAACAGAACATCTGCCCCGTGCATCCTACAAGGCTGATCAGACAGCTTCTCCAAGACAGCAGCCCAGGCTAACTCAGGGGTTAGCAGACTGACTCCTTGCCCTCCCTCTCCAGGGAGCAGAGAGCTTCATGAAGGAAGTTTGCCTGGGCTCTACTTACTGGAGGAGAACTCGAGTCATTGGGGCTTTACCATCACAGCCCACCTGAAAGTCCTAGGCAAGGAAAGGAAAACGGTGAGAAAAAAAGGAGGAAGAGGAGTCACATCTTGGGATAAGTGTAAGCTTCCACCACACCACAGGGAAACTACTGGAGCTAGGTTCTCCTTGGCTGCCCAGGGGGAAAGGCACTGAGCTGGGTTTGTGCAAGGACAGAGATGTTTGAGTGACCTAGTGCATGGCTGGGCCACCCTCCTTTCCCCCCACACCTCTGGGGTAACTAAGCTCCACGGTCAACACAAGCCCCAGGGAGGAAGCACGTGGCAGCTTCCAGGAGCTGGAAGCGCACGGGGGGCCCTCGAACGCTGTGGGCTGTCCCTCAACCATCACTTTGTGCATTGATTGTCTCGCCAAACTGGGCTACAGTCTTCGGCTTAAGAAGAGGACCCCCGACCTCCCTTCTCTGGAAGAGCTTCAGTCACAGAAGCGCTTGCGGGGCACCGTCCGAGCTCGGTTCGAGCGGCGAATCTCCTGCTTGGCATCGCGACATCGCTGGCAGATGAAAACCTCAGGCACGTTGGATTTGCGGATCTTGGCACACGAGAGGTGGATCCAGGTAGCACACTCGTTACATTCAATCATGGGTCTCCCTGCGAAGGGCTTCAGGCAGAAGCAGGTGATCAGGTCCCAGGCGTCATCCTCTGCTCAGGGACAGACAAATACTAGTCAGGAACCATCTTACTGGCCACTTCCAGAGCTGGGGCCAGGCTAGTCCCATGGGAGCGAAGCCTCCAAGACCCCAGCACTGCCTTAAACAAGTCTTAGCCAGTGCCACCAGGGCTGAACAGAAGAGTCACGCACTTACCTTCTGCTTTGGTGTTGGGAGCAGCTGAGAATTCAACAGCTAGAGAGAAAAAGATAAAATAAAGACCAGCTCGGCAAGGAACCCCTACACCCCACTTTGAGCCATGTTTCAAGTCTATAGAATAGAATGTTCCTCCCAAAGAGTGGACCATCTCCCTGGGCTTTCCTCTCCTGTTCTCGCAGGTCCCTAATGTATGGGACCCGGGAGAGGCAAGGACTATCTACAAGTGCTCCCTGCAGCTGGGGAGCACGGATAGCACAGGGACAAGATGTGGCATTAACCACAGCACATCATACCACCTCCATGCTTCCTAGATACACCCGCTTGCTTACTCACCACTAAGCTGAGAACTTGCTCTGCTTGCATCTTCCCCCTCGCTTTGGTCCAGGGTACTACAAGAACTGGGGCTTTTCCTCCCTCCAGGACATGGGTCGTGCTCCTTTAGTTGAGGATCGTCTCCTGCTGGCTTCTCAGTCCCCTGTGCTCCAGGCATCCAGTCCTTCTCCTCCTTCATCAGCTCCTCCAGGAGGGAATTGGGTTGGGGGTCCCCAGCCGGGTGGATGGAAGGCTCCAAGACCTGCTCTTTAATGGGAGGCTCCTGTCCCCCCAGTGCAATCGTCTCCTTCGCCCGATCCTGATCAATCCCACAGCTTTTCCCAGTGCTCAGTGGGACTCTCTTCTCTGTCTCCTTCTCTAAAATTAGTTTCTTTGCTGGCGGTTTCTTCCTTTTCGTTTGCTGGGGCCTGACATCATAGAAGCTGGTGGTGAAGGCAGGACAGTTCATGAACAGGCTGTTGTCCACAGCCCCCTTGGCCATTCCCCTTGTCATCTGCCAGGATGTGACCATCGGAGGAGTGGGATGAGGCCCAGCTATCACTGTCCTGAGTGCTGCCCGTGCTGTTCTGGGGACTCATGCTGCCCCGGTGGGTCCAGGGCTCATTCTGCAGGAGAGAAAGATGCAGATCTAGCACCAGAGACCACAGCTCTGATATTCAGCAGAAAAGGGGAAGGGGCCAACGTACCCCCTTGTCCAGTAAAAGGACAGCTAAGGATCTGGGCCTGCCCATGGCAGAGAGCCCCCTAGCACAGGAGCACCCCCGAGCCCTGCTTACCTCCTCAGGGTACGGGATGTAGCCTGCATAGGCCAAAACAAAGGTGCAGAACTGGTTGAAATCTTCCACAGTTCTCTGTCGCTTCTGCAATGGCTGCAACAAATGACACTTGGATTACTCTCCAGGTGCCTCCACTGGAACCAAGTAACATATCACAACCAACCCCAGCACACAGTCCTGGATTAGTGGACAATTATACCAGCACCTGATTCTCAGGTCATCCGAACATCCATCCTTCACGCATGTATGATCTAGCCTGATCGCAACAGTCCTTTCCTTTAAAACCCGGTGATCAGAGGGAACTCCCAGTAAATGCAGGCTCATGCTGCACTGTGGTTTCCAAGCCACCAGGGTCCCTGGTGCTGGAGAAATCCACCCCCAGCCACACAGCCCATCGACTCTGTGCCACAGGAGTAAAGCCATCACAGCTGGGACCCCATCGAGCGCTTGAGGATTCCCCTGCTACTCTAGCATTAACCAGAAGAGTTCAGTGTAGCTGGGGACAAAGTCTTGGAGATTAAACTCTGGGGACCCACCCTTGCTGAATGCCCTCCGGCTCTCACAGCCGAATAGCAGCCGGAGACGGGATCCACTGGAAAGGATTCCCTCCCAGGGAAGCACCAGGATCCCGCTGCACAGCGAGCCCCAGAGACAAAGGGTGGAAAATCACCAGCCCACCCCAGCCAGCAACAGGTATTTAGCGAAACAGCAAAGCACGAGCCCCCTAGGGCCCAGCCAGGCTAATCCCACCACCACGTTTCCATCGGCGAGGGGCACCGGAGTGCAGCCGGCTGGCTGGCAACGCACCCCGCAGCCACGGCCGGAGCTCAGGGCCCTTG